GTCTTGGTTGAGGCACCGGCGAGAAAGGAAGGAGACGGTGTTCTGGCCGTGGTAGCGACTTGCGGCAGTGGCGGGAGCGGCGGAAGCGGAACATGGTTGGCTAGATCTGTGTGGGAGGATTTGGACACGTGGCATGATCTGGTGGAGTCTAGCTTAGGAAGGGTATGGGTAGGGAAATTTAGGAGGTGTATTTAGAATAGGGTTACTGTTTGGCTTAGTATTGGGCCTGTTTAAGAAAAGAGGGGTGTATGTAGGGAAATTGGGAGGTGCAAGGGTAAAAGTTGTCTGTTTGGCCCATTTGTACATTATTTTCCAAATAAAACCTTATTTTGGGCCTTGAATTGCCATTTGAACCAATAGAACTTATAATTTCAGCTGCACAAATAAACGTAAGAACATCCAAGAATATTTTATGCGCTAAAACTCACTTTTTACGTCTCTTTAATTCCCAAACCTAACAATTCCAATCATCACAAATTCACTTAAAATCAATCATTTAAGCACAATTATCCTATCAAAAATTTGAATTTTAAAGGATAAATGGGGTCATAAATATGCACTCATCAGTGACCTAATCTTCCAAAGAATGTATGTTTGTCTGAAAGCTTGTAAAGATAGTTTCATAAGTTGTAGGCCCATTATATGTTTAGACGGATGTTTTTGGAAAGGTTATTACAAGGGGGAGCTGCTCACTGCTGTTGGTAGGGACCCAAACGATCAAATGCTACCCCTTGCCTATGCAGTAGTAGAAGTGGAGAACAAAGACAACTGGACATGGTTTTTGCAATTATTAATTCAAGACCTCGGGGGTAGTCAAGTATGTGGGGGTGCACGTGGATGTCAGACCAGCATAAGGTAAATATACTACTTATATTCAATTTTAGTTAAAGGATATTGTTTTATGACTAAAATTAATTATGCAGGGGTTGGTCCTAACTATCCAGGAGCTTCTGCCTGGGGTAGAACAAAGATTCTGTCTGAGGCACCTGTACATGCAAGAGTTGTGTTCTGCATGTACAATATATATTTCAAAGAGAGATGCTGAAAATTAAAGAAGTCAATATTGAAGCATATAAATACCTCATAGGCATTCCCCCGAGGTAACCCGTTAGCCATTACATACAATTTAGTGTCCCTGATGCATTGTAACCCATTTGAGAAATGTTTTGTGCAACAGGTTTTGGTCAAGATCTCGCTTCACAGGTCAAGCAATGACTGATACACTAGATAACAACATCAGTGAAGCTTTCAACAGTGTTCTTATTCATTCAAGAGGAAAACCTATTATCACCATGATGGAGGATATCATAGTTTATCTCATGAACAGGTGGGCCACCAATAGAACCAAGGTGGCATCTATGGACTTCACAATATGCCCAAAGATAAAGAAGAGACTTGAGAAGGAATGTAATCTGTCAAGATTTTGGGTGCCAAGGTAATCTTATCAATTTATTTTATATACATGTTGTTATTTATCTACATTGTTGATGTGCTTCATTTATTTCAGCTGGTCTGCACGAAAGATTTTTGGGGTTAGACATACTTCATCAGTTGGGAACAAGTTCACACTGGACCTGGACACAAAGGAGTGTAGCTGCAAAAAGTGGATGATCAGTGCCATCCCATGTTGTCATGCAATTCCAGCAATGAACTTCTCCAACGTTGATCCACAGAATTTTGTCCCCACTGTGTTCACAAGATCCACCTATGAAGAGGTGTATGCGTCCATAATATTTCCACTCAATGGCCACCTACTATGGGAAACCACAAATTTCAATGATGTACTACCACCACTGATGAGGAAGATGCCTGGGAGGCCAAAGAAAAAAAGGAGGTTGGAAGCATGGGAGCTAACTAAGGATGACACTCAAATGCGTGTTGGTGGGCATAGGAAAAAAAGTAGTATTTGTCGTCAGAGGGGGCACAACAAGAATAACTGCCCTTTAAAGCCCCAGCCAGCAGAAACCGCACAACCATCACAGCCACCTCCAAGTTCCCCGACCCCTCAACCATCACAACCACCAAGTCCCCAATCATCCCGGCCAACAAAATGCAAAGTCAGAAGAAAAGATACTTAGATGAATTGGGTTATTAGATAGTTAACTTACATGGTGGTGTAATATGTACTATTTGTTACATGGTAGTGTAATATGTACTGTTTGTTACATGGTGCTGAAAATTAGATAGTTAACTTACTTATTGAACTGATGTCTTTATGTCTTTGTTTTATGTGTGGTAATGAATGAAAGTGGTTTGATGATGTTTTGGTCAAAACTTGTACTTAAATTTCTTATTTTTGCAGAAACTGGTAATATGTGCCATTATTCATCATCATATGCATTATTGGGTTGACCTATGTGAACAGTTTTAAAGCAAATGGAGGACTGATTTCAACATTTTTAAAACATAAGAGGGACTGATTTGAACATTATTCACTAAAATTAACTCATTAAAATAGTAAATGGAACTTAATACATTGAATTGCATAATTGATCTTACACCTTTCACAACATAGGATGTTACAATCTAACTAAATCAACCTAAACAGAACCTGAACATGACAAGGCACACCACAATACACACACAAAGCTACAACTAACATCTTCATCATTTTCTGGAAGTCCTTCACTGCATTTTCCAGCTGACTTATCCTCCTCACCATTGTGCAATCTTTTTCATCAACGTTCTGTTCAACACACCACTTGAAAAAGTTACACGAGCTGTCAATTGAAGATCCACCCTGTTATTCACCAAGTTAGGGAATCTATCAACAAATGCATCAAGTCAAAAAAACATTAACTCAAAAGGGTATACTTCAAACCTTGTAACGTGGACAACCCCAAAAATTTCTCCCAGCATTCTTCGTAGTTCTCGCCACTTTGGTTACAGCAACATCACCACAATAACAAGTAGGGATTATCCCACCTCCTCTCACACCACAACCATGGGACCATTGAGAAGATCCTTTGCCCCAACTTTTCGAACATGACGAACACCCTTCGGAAGAAGCCATTCGTATCTCAAAGACCAATTTCTTTGCAACTCAAACCCTAACCTCTGATTGTTTAACCACAGTAATATACACACGTTTACCCTCACACAGTCACGTATTAATCTTCCCTAGACATGTTGCAAACTTCAGGCCACCCTGTCAGTTGGCCCGTTAAAAAATTAACGCCGTTACCAAAAAGGACTTAATTGCACATTTTTTCATAAGTCGGGAACACATTAAACTTCGAAAAAAACGTAGGACGCAATTGAACATTTGCCCCCTTCGAAGGACCAAAAGAGGTATTAAACATTTTTTTTATAATTTACTTAAATGAATATTTTTTATGATAACTTAAATAAATATATTAGGTATAAATTTTAATTAAACAAAAATAAATACATAAATGTATAGGAAATTAATAATTAGATTAAACTTTCATTTTAAAAAAATCATAGAATTACAAAAGGGAAACGTAAAATTGAAAAATTCTAAACACACGCCCAGTGGGACTCGAACCCACAATCGCCTGATTAGAAGTCAGGCGCCTTATCCATTAGGCCATGGGCGCTTCTCAATAATTTAGTGAGATCAATTATATATAATAACGTTTGGTAAAAGTTAAAATACCAAAGTGAAACGAGAGCTGGTAAAATTAGTCTAATTTGAAGGACCAATAAACTAGATTAAATTATATGAAAAAAATAACAATCAAAATAGGTCAATTTTTAACATGTTTAATATGCAATGGTTAAGTTGACAATAGACTTTATGGATCAACCACATTTTCAAAATTTAAACTAATATTATGTTATTAATATCTAAACATTGAAATTAACTTTGTTTACAAATTTTAAATTTTAAACATTTTATTTTTTAAAATTTAGAATCTATTTTTAATACTCTTAAACCTTTAAAATTCATCCAAACTAGTCATTTTTTAGTTCAAGTGAACATTATTTTTTTCAGTTACTAAATAATTCATTATAAAAAATTGACAATTACCGACCAATAATTACATATATAATATATATTTAAGTCAATAGATAAACTAAAATTTACATGCAAATATTATCTACGAATCAATATTCAATAAATTTTGTTACTATAAATTTAAACTCTAATAATTGGAATGTAAAATATAAGGTGAGTATGTGGTCAAGATTAACTATCTAGTGATTGATGTGTCATCTTAAATCCAAATTTTGTTTGGTGAGAAATCTTTTATGCATTCAAACTATTCAGATGGTACTTATAGAAGGTTTTTTTATGCTAAAGTCAGATCAACTTAGACATATAGCAATAGATATTGTAATTAATGTGTTACTCACATTCTTACCTCAAACCTTTAAATATATATTTTGTGGTGGGTTTTCTATTTTGGTCGGCCTAATTACGGTCGAAAGATAAATAATGATACTTTAACCATTAGTTTATTGGTTTTAGGGTAATATACTTTGGTGTTGTTCAGACCGTTCGATTTGATGAATTGTTGCTCAGTTTGTCAAATATCCACTAGAACTGTCTCGTCGTCCTACTCTCATCGTTCGGTCTGATAAACTGTTTTTTGGTCCGTTAAATAGTTGTTCGAGCTTAGTGACTTGTAGTTGGAGCATTTGGTTAATCATCGGGACTGACAATTTGTCACTAACTTAATGGTTGATCGACCAAGTTATACTTGATCGAACGATCATACAGTGCACAGGTCCTAAGCCCAAGCATTAGATATAGATTTTGGCACAGGGATTTAAGTGTTCATTTAGTGTTGTGCTACCTACCCTTGTAGTCGTTCATCCAAAATTAAGCCCACTAGATAGGAGAAATGTAACATCTACCAGAATAATGTTGGGTTTGTCTAGACCGTTGGATGCGAGAAAATCTAATGGTTTTGGATGAAGAATGGGTAAGATCTATGCTACTATAAATAGGGGTGGGCTTGGTCCATCAAATTCACCTCTTCTGCAATCTGCTCTCAACTAAAGTGATCATTTTCAAATTGGAGGCAATAATGTCTATTGTTCGTCTTTCATCATCTGAGGAGTCTTATGGTAGGAACGGTAGGGGGTACGCAGATGAAGCATCGTCATCATCAGTGTCTTTGCCAGCGTCTTCACCCATCCAGAGATAAATCAAGCGGAGCTTAGACTCAATTGCCAACGCCGTTACCAGTGTACATACAAGAATAAAGTCAATCCTTTTGAAGGTGTTAAGAAGGATTTGATTGTTGAAATAGAAGTCGTTGTTTCTAACGAGAGGTATAACTTAAATCTCTCAGTCGTTCCTAACTACAGTTAGGCGTCCCACGAAGTTTGTGAGTAGTAAATCACTTCAGCTGGGGACGAAAATTGTGTAAATGGGTTGAGTGGTCATATATGATTGAAAAAGGACAAACTGGTAGTTTGCTAAGCTTGCGAATTTATAGAGGAAACGAGCAGATTTTCCATGGCAGGAAAGGTTGCCTTGTACATTTCTTCTACATATATTCTTGTAGGTTCAACGACTTGCTCGTTTGAGTCTCATTCAATGAGTCCCAAATGGGCATGTTACAAGAGTTAAACATACCCAACTGCATATCAACACCTTGAGGTGGGCTCAAGCCTTCAAGGTGTTGTGCTTGACTCTATATATAACTCCTAGCCCTCCCTTCTTCCTTCACCATTTTCATACCCGTTTGAATGCTAGGTGTACTGTACCCGGGTAGCCGATCGTTCGAGGGGAGTGTCATCCACACCAACCGTTAGTCCAATGATCGCAAGTAAGGAAAGATGGATGCCATTAATGGCCAATTAATATATATAATGACCGTATCAAAGGCAAATATATGATATTTATGGGTGATTGACAGATTATATTATACAAAGATATATTGCATTCATGAATAATTAATGGGCTGAATAATTGTGAGGCCTACAATTACAAAATTAATGTTCAGGTAAAGACATCTTATTCCCAATTACTATCAGAATACACTAAAGCAATATCGTTGACTTGAACATCGGAGTATTTCTTGCAAGTTAACCACCGACTAGGAGAACTATCAGTTGAGTTGGTGATCAGAGTGGAAGATCGGAGGGCGGATCTTGGAGTGATGATGACTATTATCCTCGGACCCTTATGACTGAAACACTAGGAAAGGATGTGTATCTTTGATTTATGAGAAGAGGAAGTGGTTGTGTACTACATGAAGTATACCGATCAGAATTAATTGTCATTTATGGACAATTAACAAGTATTAATAGGTCATATTACCTTACGCTTTGCAAATATACGATATTATTAGGTTTGATTGCCTAAAAATATATTGCACTAATGGTTAATCAATGGACTTACCTATCACAAGTCCTATAAATATATAATTGATGTTCAGGTACAATGATCTTTTTCTATCATAATAAAATAATGGTTTCTCTTTATGAAACATATCTGATTTGAGTGTCAGAGTGTCTTCTGTAGGTCAATATTTCATCAAAGTGGATTGTATTCTCCGAGATGATTGAACATAAAAAGAGAGCAAAATAAGGAAGGACGACCGACCCTCAGACCAATTTAATCGAAACATTTTTTCAAAACTGGATACTTCAAGGTTAGGATCACGAGCTTGGTCAACAATACTTTTTTGACACTAATGACCAACCTAAATTTTTACTTTATTGGTCCCAAGATCTCAAGAGGATAACCCATTGATTCCCATCGACAATGACACTTGATGAAATATCGACACTGGAGATCATTAATCAACTCTCCTGTCATCTTCCTCCTCGAAGACTCTTCTAATATCATGGGTCTTCGACCCTTTGTGACAATGTCTTTAGCAATTTGACTTCTTGGTTTATGTTTAATAACTGATTGGTGTTAAGTTGTTAAATTTTTGGTTATTTTTCAGAAATCATGGCTTCCAAAAATCCAAATAGGATCAATAGATTGGTTCAGAAAACTGACTACTTAATGGTTCAGAAAACAGCCTAACTTGTAGGGTTGTCGAAAACTCTAACTCGTGAACGTCCATTTTCTATAGATGTTGAGGGGACCGAGAAGCCCGTTCCTCAACCTGTCCTTATTATCACTCTCCTTCCTAACTATCTTGAGGGAAAAGAAAAAGACAAGGGGAAAAGAAAATCTCATCGCCAACAAGAGAAGTCCTTCTCATCTCACAGGAGAAGCTACTGGAGGAGGGTGGATCTTTAAGGCCTTTGATCAGGAGGATCTTTAGTACAAATTTCATCTAGGTGCCAAAGTATCCTTCAACTTGTTAGGGGTCGAGAAAGACATGCTGAAGGGCATCATCGAGTAGGAAATTGTGGATGTTATCGTAGAACTGAACGCTCAAGTAGTATTGTTGAGTACCAAGATTGTTGGGGATGTTGGAGCAGAAGCTGAGCGACTAAGAAGGGAGCTATCTAATGCTCAAGCGGATATGGAGGAAGCTTTAAAGGCCAATGCTAAGTTGAGCTTAAAGCTAAAAGAATCTACTGAAGCTCACTCCAACTGCCTGCAAACAAATGAGGACACCGATGCTCAGCTAGTTGACTCCAAAGTGGCTGAAAAATACCTAGGTGAGGCCAACTATCAACTCCAACGCCAAGTGAATGATCTACTTCTAGATCATAAGAGAAACAAGAATATAATTGAAGACTTAACCAAGAAAAATACTAACTTGGTTGAGCAAAACACCATCCTTGCTATCGACCTAGAGGACATCGCTCAACTTGTCATTGAGCAGTACGAGGTTGGATTTAAAAAAGCTCTTGCCCAATTGTCTGAGAATTTTGTTTGAAAATGATTTTGGATTTTTGGGAAGTGAACCTGACAAGGGCAAGCCTTGCTCCTACGTATCTCCACTCTTGATGGAGAATCAAGGATCACGTAGTTCTAGCCGAAAGATTGCTTGTTCAAAATGGATGTTTTTTTTTTAGTTTTTGAAGGTTTTTCCCAATTTTTGGTATTTTTTTATAAAAGAAAGAGAAAACAGTAACAAACAATTATGAAAATATAAAACAAAATTTAACAAGATAATTCAAAATAAA